AAAAACTTTATCATGAAGGTGAATTAGTGTAATAAGTATTTTTTTAACTAATTTCTCAACTAGATGTAATGTAATTGAATATTTTGTACATGATCTTTGATATCTAGATGGAATCCTTACTAATTTGTTCCTTACTAAGTTGGTTTGTTTGTTAGGTCATAGCGTATATAGGCTACTTTACTCGAGTAAAAGATAACATAAAATATTTAATTTTTTTAATATATAAATTGTGGGGGGAAAGGGATTGTTAGTAGTGGAGACTGACAATCTCATCGCTAGCGATATACCCAACCAGGTCGACCTCCTCGCGGTATCCCCTGGAAACTATCATAGTTAATTCCTGATGAATTCATCATGATGGGCTAACTGGCCCGTTTTCATTCTCATCTATCACCCTTCACTGGTGCTCCGCCAGCATATCCCGTTAGCGCAGGCGGGGTAACCATTCCATTTTCACCCATAAAAAAAACTGCGGTTGCCAGGGAGAAAAGGGATAGCAATATACCCTGTTAGGTCAACCTCCATGTGGTTCCCCCTGAAAACCATCGTGGTTAATTCTAATTGAACTCGTCAGGATGGGCTAACTGACCTGCTTTCATCCTCATCTGTCATTTCTCACTGGTGCCCCGCCAGTGTATACCGATAGCGCAGGCGGGGTTACTATATTATTATCACCCATTAAAAAAATAACTGCGGTTGCCAACCCGTCAGCCAAGCATGGCAACTAATGGCAAAACTCCCCTTATGGGGAAGGCTTACGTCCAACAGTGGACAGCTAATGGCTGTAATGTAGAAAAAAATGTCAGCTGATAATTGGCTGATCGTTTTTTGGACGTTTTTTGATCGTCGCTTTATCTAAATATATCTGATCTAGTTTTAAACCCGACACGTGTTAGCGAGATGATTCGCGTCTAGTTTCAAAATGAAAGTACATACACACGTCATACAAAATTGTTATATAAAAAAGATCTTGTAATTTATTAAGTTGATTTATTGAGTTTTTAATTAATAGATATATTTATAAATAATTTAATAAAATAATTGTGGCATTTATTTTTTAAATTATGAATACATATGAACTAACTAGCTTTTACCCGCGACTTCGTCCGCATAGCCGAGATATAATATGTTCACTGACATAGGGATACAAAGTAGGCCGTGTCCATTTCGACCCCGTACAGCAAATGTTTCGGTTTGAAGGGTGGGACATGGCGTGAATTTACAGGGTACAGAGGACATACCTAACATCTGAGTCCTCAGGAATGGCAACGCATGGGGAGTATTATGGGCGAAACAGTATACTCTGTTATGTCCATGCTACTGCTCATGTCTATAGGCGACGGTTACCACTCTCCATCAGGTGGGCCTTCAGCTTGATTACCATTCTAAGCTGTATAAAAAAAAAAATTAAAGATTGTGTTTTCCAGAAAAAAAAAAACTAAACTATTAAACCGATTTCGATAATATTTCTATGGGACTAATCAATATATCCTTTCAGACAAAAAAACACCAAACGTTTTAGAACAGACAGAGTTATGAGGTAACAAACATAAAAAAAATACAACGGAATTGAGGACGAAGTACGTCCTCAATTCCGATTTTTGAAGTCAGTTAAAAATACGATAAAACTTTTTTGTGGAATGAAATAGATGTTATACAAAAAAAAACTCCTTCATTAAATTAATATGACATCAATAATAGCTTACTTCTCAGGGATGCCTATAGTACTATGGGCGTCACAGTGTATTCAACAACAAAAATATTATCTTGATTCTTTTAAAATTGTATAAAAAAAAAAAACATTATAATTTAACATTTTGTTGCACAAAATAAATACATCACTCTTGACAAAATTGATATGAGATCAAAACGAAAGAATGAAACATGACGATTGCAAAAATAATCATCGAAATCGGTACAAAATTAGTGATGATATATCGCGTAACATACAACAAAATAGAATCAACAACAACACTCCGAACTCAGCAGTGGAATCATAAAAAAACAACCATTTAAAAGAGCTTGTAAACAAGTATATTTTTATAAAAAAAATATGTTATGCCCATGGTACTGCTCATGTCTATAGGCGACGGTTACTACTTTCCATCAGGTGGGCCATCAGCTTATTTGTCATTCTAAGTTGGGATGGACATAGCAGACTATACTGTTTCGCCCATGATACCCCCCATGCGTTGCCATTCCTGAGGACTCGGATGTTATTCCTCTGTACCCTGTAAATTCACGCCATATCCCACCCTTCAAACCAAAACACAGCTATGCAAACTCAACTGCTTCACGGTAGAAACACGAATGGAACAGAGGTACTCAAGCAATCGACTTTTGTACAAAGTCTTCCTCTGGTATGTGTTTGTATTGTAATTTCTGTGCTGTAAATAATGCAAATAAATTACCTATCTATCTATCTATCGAAATAATAATAATATGCGTTACTTGGTTAATAGTTGTGAAATGACAATCGCCTAACTTATCTAAAGTGCTGATCGCAATTGCAAGACACTTCTCTTTGTACTAACTTTTCTTATAATCGGTCTACAGTTTGACAGACCAGTCGCTTGGACTATGTATTGTTACTAGTACAGTATTATATTATCTGTGGTATTGTTTTCCTAATATTCTAAATGTAACAGTATGTTTGTTTGTTCGTTTATTTGATGGACTTCTACATGTCTTGGAAACTATCATAGTTGATTCTTAGTGAATCTCGTTTCAACCATAAATAAGAAAGTAAAAATGGACAGATGGATGTTTGTTAGTCTTTCGCGCAAAAACTACTGAACGGATTTGAATGAAATTTGGTACACGGATAGGTTGTATCCGACGCGAGTGAAGAAGTGGGATACTGCTAGTATACACTAAGCTTACTAACCTATTTTTATTCTTATCTATTACAGTTCATTAGTATCTCTCCAGTGTACATTGATAGTGCATTTAGGATTACCATTTCATTATCATTCGATTAAAAATATAAAAAAAAAACGATCACAAACAATGAGTTTTTGGAGAAAATTCCTGCCACAAAATGATTAAGGAAAGAGTTCTCTTTTGAGATATAATGTTATTAAAACATTAATATATTATACCTATTATTAACATTTTTTTTTTAAAACAGAGGCAAGCATGCGGCTTACCTGATGGTGACTACCGCCACCCTATACTAAAGCAAATTTTCTTAATTCAGTAATCGAACTCAAATATCATAATTTTTATTTATTTATTTATTCATTAGTACATATATGTGTACATAGCGGAGTAAATGCTAAAAGCATTCTCTCCCAGTCAACCATAGGGAAGTGTCAGAATACTCGAACGCGGTACTAGTAATTATTGATATACATACATACTAAAATTACATATTTATTGATATACATACATACATTATCTCGATTAAATAAATCTTTAAAATTGGATATATAAGACAAGTAAATAATCAAATAACATTCCGAACCGAGCAGAATAGAATCGTGAAAAAATACGATTTAAAAGAGCTTGTAAACAAGTCAAGAAAACAAGAAACGAGAAAAAAAAACATAATAAACAAGTAAAGATTTCTGTTCTATTCTTAACTCAAATTTTACTAAAACAAATGATATAATTGTAGGTATAAAATACATTAGTAAAAAAATTCTTAAATGTTAAATCGTTTTTTAATAACACATCTATTATTACAGCAATATCAGGATAGTTTAATATTAGTTTGTGTCTATAAATATTGAGCCTTCGCATGATTTATGCAATTCATCAACATCCGTTCTTTAATATAAAGTGTTCAATAAACTATAAGATAATAATACGTGATTTATGGACTATATATACAGTAACAGCATTATATAAATACATATTTAAAACCATTCTAACTGGCATAAAAGCAGTTTTATCTATTTTTAAATTTTATTCACTAGTATCATTGTTTGATACATTACATAACTGACTGTGTATTTCTTTTAAATTATATCCGTTAATTGTAAAATTATTTATTTATTTAAATAACTGAATTGACCAAAAGAGAATATGGTACAAAAGGCGGACTTAATGCTAGTAACATTCTCTACTAGTCCACCTTTGGTATGAACAGTGAATTACGAACAGGGCACTTCATTATTGAGATAGGTAGAGAAAACAACTAATAATGTATATCTATATAAAATAAATAATATATAAATAAATAAAATATAAATAAAATATAAATAAATAAATTATAAAAGATGCTGACTATCTATCTCATGGACTATACTTTATACGAACATGAATTTATTTGAAATCAAGAGATTACTGTTGAATCTTTGAATATTCTTTGGTTATTATAGATTATTTTTAAATTTTAAAAAATGGAATCAAAATTCCGTTTGTACTTTTAGTTTACACTGACCTAGTATCGATAAGCGATGCTAAGCGAGGATGAAGTCGGGTTTGTTGGTCTGTTCTGAAAAATGTATCAGGAATTAACTAAGATGGTTTCCATATCGACCATGTGGAGATCACCTTCGCTGGTTATAGCTGTTCCATGGTGGACTGGTAGAGAATGCGTTTATGTGTTATATACATCGTAAACGTTATGCGTCGTAAAGTCACAATTATGAAAGTTAATAAAAATAAATAATTAATTGTGTAACTATGGTGTTAACTATATTTGAAATTTAAATTAAGTATATTTTTATATTCATACAAAAATTTTAAATGGCATTTATGTAAATTCAAACTGTCAGAATATTTTCAATACAATTAATCAATTTAAGCTTATCAAAATTAATATAATTAATTAATTGATTACGTTATTGATTAAAAAAAAAAGTTTTTATACTTATTTATTTTGTCACTAATAATTGTCAACAAAATAAAAATTCCGATAATATATTGATAAAGAAAGCAATTAGCATTGTCGCCTTATTGGTATCCAAACTGGACAGATAAGAAGCATTTTGGTTTACGCTCGACTCCGAAAGCGAAAGTATAACATAGTCCTACAGTGCCGCCATTTTTTTTCTTCGCTCGGCCGCTCATACTGCATATATATAGCGAAGCTACGGACCAACACGCATCATTCGCATTCAGGACCTCGCTGGCTTCAGTGCAACCTACTAGTGCAGCATCATGAAGTTCATGGTGTGTTCACTTGCATAATTTACAATTCTTATGGTGATAGTGGTACATTTTCAAAGTGATAGTGCCGAGTGGTTGGAAAACGTGCAATTACCTGGATTTCGCATATTCCCTTGTCCCACTTTATTAAGTTTACGCAATACGGAAACATTGCGTGCGCGCTTTGTGTGTCACGGTGCGGGCGATTTAACTTGACCACTTATTAAAGCGCAAAGTCTTTAGTACTACTTAATTAGTCGCAATTAGTTACACTTGATCGTTGTATAAACTTTAAGTTATTCGAGTTCTGTATCTTTAAATCTTTTGTGTTTGTTTCAGCTCGTAGCCGCCAGTCTGGTGGCTCTCTTGGCCTTCTCACATGCCGAAGAAGCCAAGAAAGCAGAAAAGGAAGTGGCAGTGACCGACAATAAAGAGGCGGCGGCATCTGACGACAAAAAGCATGAGAAGAGAGGACTGTTCGACATCGGACTGGGCTATGGACACGGCGGTCTGGAGGGTGGATACGGCGGTGGACTGGGCGGCGGATTCAGCGGCGGACTCGGTGGCGGCTATGGCGGACACGAAGTCCACAAAACAATCACTGTTGTCAAGAACGTTCCTGTCCCATACCCGGTCGAGAAACACATTCCCGTCCCGGTAGAGAAGACTGTCCCCTACCCCGTTAAGGTACCCGTACCCCAGCCTTACCCCGTTGTTAAGCACGTGCCTTACCCAGTCAAGGAGGTCGTCAAAGTACCAGTGCACGTTCCCCAGCCCTACCCAGTCGAAAAGAAGGTACCTTACCCCGTCCATGTGCCCGTCGACAGGCCCGTTCCCGTTAAGGTCTACGTACCCCAACCTTACCCCGTTGAGAAACACGTGCCAGTGCCCGTCAAAGTCCCAGTGCCAGCTCCTTACCCAGTAGAGAAGAAGATCCCTTACCCCGTCAAGGTGCCAGTCCATGTCCCCGCTCCCTACCCAGTCGTCAAGGAAGTGCACGTTCCAGTCAAAGTCCCCGTCGACAGGCCTTACCCCGTGCACATTCCCAAACCAGTGCCTTACCCAGTCGAGAAACCAGTGCCTTACCCAGTCGAGAAGCCCGTGCCTTACCCCGTGAAGGTCCCCGTCGACCGCCCAGTGCCAGTGCACGTTGAGAAACCAGTGCCCTACCCCGTCAAAGTACCAGTGCCCGCCCCGTACCCAGTGGAGAAACACATCCCAGTACCAGTTGAGAAGCACGTGCCAGTTCCCGTCAAAGTGCCCGTCGACAGGCCTTACCCCGTACACATCGAGAGGCCAGTCCCAGTACCAGTCGAGAAACACGTGCCTTACCCCGTCAAGGTGCCCGTCCCGGTGGTAATCGGTCATGGTCATGACTACGAGTATGGTCATCATGGTAGCTACTAAGGCTGCAGGAGGCAGACGTCTGAATGTGATATATAAATATAAGCTTAGCACATAAAACGAACGAGGGCCGTGGAATACCCCATCAGAGCGGATAGTGGCTAACAACCAGATCCCTGGATCTCTGTATTGCACGACCCTCGAGCGATATGCACTGATACAATACTCTCAGTTAGACTATTTTGTTGTGAATCATTTATTTTAGCTTGTACAAGATCGGTGAATGTTACGTTTGAGTTGATGTACCTGTTATTTTATAAACAAATCCCTTGTGTTCCCTTTATTTTATTTTTTTGTGTTATATTATTATTTTTTTTTTTTTTGGATGCGAGTATTTTTATACGAACTGATGTAAAATAAAAAAAATGGCTCAGCCAATTAATTTAAAACTGTATTTTTATTGTTGCGCAATAATTATAAGGTTCACAATATGATATTAGCGATTGTAGGTAGTTATTTATTTGCGAAACGCAAAACAGTATGGCCTAGATTAACACAGTACGGACATGAGTAGCCGCCGGTACTCCGCATGGCGAAACTTGACGTAAATTTTCTCTTGACAATCCACATCTATGCGATCTTTGTGTCGAAACAAGCCTTATAATCACCATACTCATTATAAACAGTGTCTTGGACAATATTATCATTTGTTTTAAACGCATCGAATACATTTTAGGACACCACCCCACTACAAGTATTAACGTTTTGAAAGATATTAATTATTCTTTGCGTAACGGAAATACGAGTCGATTTATTATATTATTATATATTCTAGAAGTTTTTTGATTAGCAATCTCTTTAAATAGTAAACAAATAGTTTAATGCAATAGTTGATTTAAACAAAATACGTATTTAGAACGCGCTGTTTCTCAATACTATTTAAGATGTATCAATATGGCGGATGCTGAATGCATTTATTATGCAACGAACACGTCAATTTACTTTTTCTTTATTTTTTACTACATATTTTAGCAACGATGAGGCCTTGAATCTATTTTAAGTGGTAACAAATAGATTGCATTTTAGGAAGTGAGGGAATTTACATAAATACCTACAAAACACGAACAATTATGTCATTTTAGGATTGTGATACACTAAATTATGTGAATACATATGTATTTTGCTATTTATATCAAAGTAAAAAATAAGTTTTAATGTGTAATATGAAATAGATCATTATAATATTAAAATAATAAAACTCACGACTACAATACCTAATGGGATAGTCAAAGGCATTAAAAAATAAAAAAAAAATATATACTACAAAGGCTTTTTAGTGTAAAATTGTTTAAAAATAAAGAAATGCTTTGTTTCTAGATAATTTAAAAAATAATTTAGTCAAAGATTCAGGCAAACTTCGTCATGCAGAAAGAAAGCACGTGAAGGAAATGATTCATATCTTTCATATAGAGCATGATTTACTATCCATATATCATAATTATACCAAGTAATTTTATTGTGACGCGTGGAATCAAATAATGTATTTAAAATTATAGCTTTAGTATCTTTTAGCTTTCGTATTGAAGTATAGACAATACTTTATCGAAATACCAAGCTTGATGTATATATTACAAAATGGGTAAGTATATAATAGTGCAGACTAGTAATTTACTGTGTGACGTCACCGTGTCAAAGACAGTGGCGACACCTAACGGATTTTGTGTTACGAAAATGTGAAGTCTCATTCTAAATAATCTATGTTTGCTATATGACAGCAAATATTTATTTATTAATTTTAACATAGTTTTAACACGTAATACTTAATGGAAAATGTGTTGTTTTCATATATTTGTATCAGATAAGTGTGTACAATAGTCAAACAAAGATGGACAAATATTATTTTGTAATTAAATCGAGTCTGGATGTTTTGGTTTTTTCTTTTTTTAATGGTTGATAATGGAATGGTATCCCCACCTGTGCTATCGGTATACGCTGGCGGGGCACAAGTGAGGGATGATAGGTGAAAATGAAAAGGCAGGTTAGTTAGCCCATTATGATGAATACATCTAGAATTCAGCACTATGGTTTCCAGTGGGAACCACGTGGAGATCGATTTGACAGGGTATATTGCTAGCAATGGGACTGGTAGTCCGCCTTACTAACAATCCCTTCCTCTGGGTATTCAGAGTTATGCCTCTATATATGGTCTCAGGTGGCTCAGAACCATATTTATGACAGTCTATGGGGAGACGATGATCATGGTAGATAAGTCAAATAAATTAAAAGAATAATTATAAATGACATGATATGCATATAATAAATAATATCGCCTGTAATAAAATTAAAATTTTAAGTTACTGGCTATTAATAAATTGTTAAAAAAAAAACAAAAAAAAAACCTTACTAAAGTATCATGTCCTTTCTAACAAAGGTCTATTATAAATATGTTTCCACGTTTTGAATAACACGAAAGGTTCCAATGTCGTGTAAATAATTGTGATATTTAACCAACTTCACGGTCAAATGCAATCAAGCGATCGTTAAACATAATTCCTGTACATTTTGCAACAGAAACGGAATAAAATGTATGTATGTTTAAAACACCGTTTCCTTTAACGCCACTAACCTGATAATTAATAAATAGATAGATAGATAGATAGATAATTTATTTACATTACTTACAGCACACAAATTACAATAAAAAAAAAACATACACATAATACACAATAAAAGAGATAAAAGAATGAAAATAAAAAGCACAAAATTAAAAAAAAGAAAACAAAAAAACAAAATATATAAACTAACAATCTCCCTTCTTTCCCTTCCTTCATGCGTGTGCCATAGTAACATAAAATGGTCACATCTCAGTTTATTGCTTTGCCCTTAAAAGAGCAAAACACTGATATTCTGCTGTGGCCAAGAGTCAGTCGCGAAACTCCTCATTAAAAATAACAATAAAAAGGAATATAAATAAAATACAGTGTATGTGTCCATTACATTCACCACCATTTGATATTATATTCTAACTAAATAAATAAATAGTTATATATTATAAAGACAGCTTCTTTCTTGTATAGAATATGAAGGTTTGCCAACAGTACTTTGAATATATTTTTAAATAGATAGTCCTCTCGTGAGAATGCTTGTCGAAAGGACTAGATCATTATTAGTAATTAAGTATTAACATCGTTTTTAAGTACAAAAAAAGGCCCAAGTTATCTAAAACAAATTAATTAATTTAATTAATCTAAAGGGAAATTCCCGTTGTTCTAGAATAACGAAATTTGACCCGAAATATTATCGTGTAGTACAAGTAAAGAAAAAAATTCGACTACTATAAATTTACCAGAGGGAGACTTTGTACAAAAGTCGATTGCTTGGGTACCTCTGTCCCATTCGTGTTTCTACCGTGAAACAGTTGTGTTTGCATGGCTGTGTTTCGGTTTGAAGGGTGGGATATGGCGTGAATTATACTGGGTACAGAGGAATATACACCTGAGTCCTCAAGAATGGCAACGCATGGGGGAGAATCATGGACGAAACAGTATACTCTGTTATGTCCATGGTACTGCTCATGTCTATAAACGGCGACGGTTACCACTTTCCATCAGGTGGGCCGTCAGCTTGTTTGCCATTCTAAGTTGTATAAAAAAAATACTATAAATTTGTTTTAGTTACATTATAGAAAAAAAATCTTTTTCAAATATATTTATTTATTTATTTTACACTTTATTGCACCAAGTAAAAAGAAAAATAACAAATACAGTAAATACTAATGAGAAGTGATACAAAAGGCGGCCTTATCGCTGAGCAATCTCTTCCAGACAACCATTTTATAAATATAATTTATAGAGAACCCTCGGTGAGCGAGTTCAAATCGCACTTGACCAGTTTTTTAATATTAACTTCATTTGGAGTACACAATAATACATATTATACACAAACAAAATTACTGTGCAACGAAATCTTTCCGAGATAAGAATACAACTGTACTGGTACGGAACGAGTGATGAAATTGTGACGAAAGATGCAACAGCTTAATTAAAACTACACGTGGAAATGTACGTAAAACAAGTGAACGTAATATTTTAGCGGCCATTTTGCAAAGGAAGCAGTAAAACTGAAAACGTAAATTATATCTAGAACAGCAAAAAACAAAGTGACCGACGTAGCCCGAAGGATAAGCAAGCTGAAGTGGCAATGGGCAGGTTATATAGCTCTAAGAACCGACAACCGATGGGGAAGAAAGGTTCTTGATTGGCGACCCTGTACGATCAAACGTAGTGTAGCACATAGTGAGTTGGCGGTGGCAGGATTGCATGTTATAAAATTTTAACATAGGTCAAAGGCCTTCGTGCACTACGATTGGAGCTTGAAATATATCCATAAGTGAATTAGTAATAAAAAAGTTCGGACGGACGGATAAATATTCATAAGAATACAGAAAAATAAATTACAATAAAAGAAAAATAACAGAAAAATACATACTTACCAGAGGGAGACTTTGTACAAAAGTCGATTGCTTGGGTACCTCTGTCCCATTCGTGTTTCTACCGTGAAGCAGTTGTGTTTGCATGGCTGCGTTTCGGTTTGAAGGGTGGGATATGGCGTGAATTTACAGGGTACAGAGGAATAACACCTGAGTCCTCAAGAATGGCAACGCATGGGGGGTATCATGGGCGAAACAGTATGTGTGTGTTCTGTTATGTCCATGGTACTGCTCAGGTCTATGGTCGACGGTTACTACATTCTATCAGGTGCGCCGTCAGCTTGTTTACCATTCTAAATTGTATTAAAAATAAATTGGTTTTGTCATAATTGAAGTAAACTTTTTGTGGGACACAATCTTTAATTATATTTAGTTCGTGTAATTACACCTTCTTAACACAATCTACCGTTAATGAACAAAATTAACTTTACTTACATCCAATTAGTTAGCGATTTAGCGAAAAGTTTACGTAACATAAGAGAAGAGATCTTGCCAATCGCTCGGCAGAGTCAATAATAATTTATGGACCTCTAAACGGCCTTGTTGAAATGTTACAAGGACGCGGTAATAACGAGGCGTTACTACAGAGTACATTTTATTGGTTCAAATAAAAATATACGGTTATAATCTACATGATTAATATCTCTATCTATAATTGTTTAATCTTTGTTTTTATGATAATGGAATAGCAACGCCGCCTGCACAAACGGTATACACTGCCGGGGCACCAGTGAGGGTTAACAGGTGAGAATGAAAAGAGAGATCAGTTAGTCCGTCGTCGTGAATACAGCTGAGATTCAGCACGATGGTGTACTTTTATTATTTACATATGTAGGTATATAGAGCTGTTTTTATTGTATTATATATTCAATTTTTTTACTGGGTATTATTTAGTTTATCTTTAATTGTACGGTTATTACCCTTATACATTCAACAGTTTTCTTTCAGCTTCTCAAAGGT